CTCCCAGTGACATGTCTGCTAATGGAGGAATCTTCCCAACAGGAAACCCGCCGCCTCATTCCTCCGGAGCAGCTGCAGGGACTTCAACAACGTTTTCAGGATCTTCTCCACAAACGGGGTTCTTTAGCCCAGGGGCCCAACGGGACGACCCCAGCGAACACTGGACTGACGGAGGAAAGCCCCCACGCCGGCGCAAGAAAGTTCGCAAGCCATTCCAGTGCTGAGGAATGCAATGTTGTGCAGAGATGGAGCGCCGTCTGTTGCCATGTTTTGACATGATATTGGCCAGCTAGTGCAACAAAACGAGGACAGAATCTTTTGACCTCTGTTGAGCATTTCAGTGTTGGCGCTTTGAAGCTTCCTGATACAGAATGAAATGGCAACATCAGATTTCGTAGAGGGGCAAGCAAAGATGGATGCAAGAAGAAGATCTTTGCTGTTTCATGTTTGAAGTCCTTTTTTGTTTTTATCTCTTGTTTTTGACACAAATTAACCTACATTCAAGCATTTGAAATAACGTTCTTTCAAGAAACAGAAGGACTCATGAGTCATGAGTAGATTTTCTGGTGTATCTGAAAAATAGTTGACCCAACTTTAAAAATTGTCACTATTTACCCACCCGCATGTTGTTCCAAACATTTACGCCTTTTATTTTTGCTTATCACAGCTTTTTTTCATTACAAAGGAAGTATAGAAATTTCCCAACATCATAAAAGTAGACCATGTGACTTATAGTTTTCAAGTCTTCTGAAGACATCAGATAGCTTTGTGCGACAACCAAAGACCCAAATTTAGCAATTCACTGATTATGTTCTTAGCTATTAAATTTGGCCGAGGTTTGATATGATGGATACATGATAACCAATGGTGTTTAGTATTCTGAGCTTCAGTGGAGGGGAGCATTAGCAGCGGATAAAACTTTTTTTTTTTTTTTGAGATTGACAGATGTGGTTACTATGAACCGCATGAGATTCTTAAATTTCACCTGAAGAAAAAACAGTGGCAGAGTTTGAAACGACATGAGGGTAATAATGGCATTTTTATTTTTGGGTGAAGTTTAAAAATGTTTCTGGTTTTGTCAGGCTTGAAATGGTGAATCTGATGGAAAATCTTCATGATGTGGCTGAATGTTTTGTACCACGTAAGGATTAATGTAGAAGTCACACACAGACCTCAGGGATGACTCTTTCTTCATCTGCTACTAGTGAGAGAACAGGAAAAGGACGTATGTTCCTGGGATTATCGTATAGAGCTCATGCAATCCAGAGCAAGCATTTTACCAGTTACTCAAGCAGTTCATAATAAAACCAGATTTTTTTTTCTTCTGTTGTTTAAATCACTTGTTTAGGAGAGAATTACTTCAAATATATACAAACATTTTACTGTACAAAAAAATACACAATATGGCTTAATATTCCACAAATTGATCATCAACTGTTCATGTGATCTGAATGGAGCTTCAGAAGATGAAAGAATCTAGAGGGATTTTTCACATCAAATGCTCTTGATTGATTTGGCTTATGTCTTTGTTCATGTAGTGCATCTCTAGAGCTGGAAGAGCCAATGTGCATTGTATTTTAGAGAGGGGGAAATAAATTATTGAAAATTTGAGTTAAAGCACAAATGTAATCGTGTGTAAATCTTATATGTCTAGATGCATAGATTTGCATAGAAGTCTAAAAATGGGTTTTGATGTGAAAATCCCAGAGCCTCCCTTTAAGAGGAAGTCGTCTTGTCACTTCTGACCACTTTTTTAACACTCAGGAATCATTTTAAAAGAAAGTTGCTTCATTCATGGAGCCATCATTCCAGGCCAACAGATTCATTAGTGTCCAAACCTGACGTAGTTTTTTTTTTTTTCTTTATTTTACAGTAGACACGGTATACTTTAAGACACAAGACTGTTTTCCCTCTGTACAGCCGGACATCATAAAACCGTACTAATACATGGGTGTTCAGTTTCATGTGTTCTCAAGTTCTCAGAGATGTTTCCGGAACTTCCTGTTCAGTTTGACTTATTACTTGTTGGTTCAGACTACACAATATTTTTGTCGGTCACGATAGTCACTGTGTCAGATTACACGATTTTGACTCCTAAAATCTTGTGTCGTGGATTGCTGAAGCGCTTCCGCTATAGTTCGCCAGCATTTTTCTTTCTTTGTTCTGTCGTGGTATTCCCTCGATGACACATCACACAGGCAGGAGTACTGTTGCCACAGCTCCACGAACCTTTCCTCCATCTCATAATTCCACCTAGCAGCACCATCATCTCTCTTTCGTTTCTCCATGTTTGAAACCTGTGTATGAAAGAGCTTCTGTGCTGCTATTGGTCAATGTCACCAATGTGACAGAACTCATCGTGGACGACGGAAAAAACATTAAACATGCTAGTCTTTCTGTCGTGAAGCATCGCAGACGCGGAATCGGTTGTCGTCCACTATGACACACTACACGAGCTGAAACGATGGAATCTTGCGTCCCGACGCCCATTGTCATTTACGAATCCCCACGACACCCTACGTCAAGTAAATCGTGGCAAAATTGGGCTAAAATCGTGTAGTCTGAACCGGGCATTAAATCTCCTGATAAAAGCACTTGTTTAACAACAGAAATTCCAATGAAAACATTTAAAGAGACTCCAGAAATAAAATCGAATTGTTGTTTTGCTGTTTGTCAGTGATTTTTCAGCCTGTGACTCTAATTGAAGTGGTTTCAGATGGAAGAAGCATAAATATAAAGGGTATAATGGTTTAACATGGTTACTCAATAATTGAAAAACTGTGCATGATAAAATAGCAGCACGTTACCTCTGAAATGTTCTCAAAGGCTAAAAATGACTGGCCACGCTGTATCTATAGTTGACCCAAACTCAGTGGTTCTTTCGATTATGTCATTGTTCTGAATCTTTAGGATAAATTTGTAAATGTTTACCTTCAGTCCGATTTTCAGACTATTCTAATGTTTTTTTTTTCTTTACAGCAGAAGCCTTCTGTTGACAAGGGCAAGTGTTATTTAATTTCTGTTGATAATTGAAGTGGTATAATAGAAATAAAACCGAGAGTTTATTATTGCACTAAACGTCCTCCGGATGTTAAGGTGTTACTGATCTTTTGAACAAAATAATGGATCGCTTTAAATTGACTGGTGTCTAAACATCAACAAAAATGAGTAGCTCATATGTTGCTTTTATTGTTTGTATATTTCATTATATATGTGACAATATTCCACTCGCTATTTAAAGAAAATGTGATGGGTATTGTATTCATTACGTTCACTGTACTTGAGAGTTTTACCAGTGGTCGAGGTGCTGCATTGACACAAATGTATTTAGGGATTACATGAAGGTTTATTCCAGACAGATGTGTCGTAGAGAGTGATCTAGATCAGTGAATCTCAACCTTTTGGTGTACCGGACCCCAGTTCAATTCAGAACCATCCTCAAGGACCCCCAGAACAAAATTGACTCATCTATATATCATTTGTGTTTTTGTGAGGACCAAATGCAGTCAAGTATTATTCAAGTTAGTTGACTTAACTGGCCAGTATTTGGCCATATCATCAGCCAAGTATAATTCAAGTTAGCTGACTTGTCCAGTATTTGGCCATATCATCAGCTATATTGGATTTTTCTTTCATGGGAACATGTCATGTCAAAATATACAAAAATTCATACTTTATACGGACCCCCTGGCCTTACGTCAAGGTCCACGGACCCCTGGTTGAGAGAAACTGATCTAGATCACTCTAGATTCAGACAATCCTTATAATGGTGATAATGTGCAGGACACTTTTTCCATGATTTGGTATGTTGTTGCCTCTCTCCAACACTCCTATATTAAAGCTGATTTCCTCAAATGCTGTGCTCTTCAACATGTACAAGTGTAACATCTGTGCATTTAACTCCAGTAGAAAGTAAATGTTCACCACAACAGCTGCTCTAGAAATAATGTTTCCACTTCTATCATGGAATGTGTTCAGTTATAAGTTGACAGAAATGTGTAGGACAGTGCAAAAGTCGTTAAAGGTCATATGCAGCTCAATTTTTTGATTCCGCTCAAGATGTCAAAATATACCTTCTTAAGGGTAATATTTGTTTTGCCAAAATTAGCTTATCATTGATTGAAGTTGTATGATTTGTGCTACCATTGTGCAACACTTTAGTGACTAACAAGAAAAGAGTAAGATCAAATTTACTTCTTTTTGTTTTTCAGTACTGTTTTGCTGTGTGTGTATATATATATATATATATATATATATGTGTGTGTGTGTGTATCTGTGTGTGTGTGTGTGTGTGTATATATATATATATGTGTGTACGCCTACACACACACACACACACGCACACTATTTAATGCCTTCTTGTCCATGGTAGATCATGGTTTAATGAAGGTAAATGTAAGACTTTTTAAGACCAAATAAAGAACATTTAAGGAGCACAATACATCAATGTTCTCAAAATGTACTTCCAACAGATATCCATTACTTTTTTACATTTCATTTACAAATAAAAAATGGCTAAAGGCTAGAAAAACTGCTCCCAACCACTAGAATATGGAAATAATTTGTACCTTCTGATCACATGCACTGCAAGTGATGTTCTTCCTCAGAGTTTGTCTTGTCTAGCACAAATGTCTTAAGACACGATTACAAAGAAAAAAAAATGAAAGCATAAACTTGTTTAATTTCTCAGAAAACAGGACGTTTTATCTTCATTTTGCATCTCAAGTAAATGGATGTTAAGGGTGTTTAGATATTTGGATTGGAAAACAAGAAAAAAAGACAAAAACACTTAAGAAGATATTCTTTTTAAGGCCTTCATTTGTGGAAAGACAAAACAGGACGTTTTATCTTCATTTTGCATCTCAAGTAAATGGATGTTAAGGGTGTTTAGATATTTGGATTGGAAAACAAGAAAAAAAGAGAAAAACACTTAAGAAGATATTCTTTTTAAGGCCTTCATTTGTGGAAAGACACCCCACAGAAAGCCTGGGCTTAGAACAGATTAAATCTTCGAAGGAATAATGTGTGATTATGCTGGCTAGAGTTCAGTGTGGCTCAATAATGAGGAGATCAGCCATTGTACTTACCATTTAGGACCACAAGCAGCCGTCAAATGAGCATTTATATAATTCTGAAAGACTAATAACTTCATTGCACTTGATTAAACTTCATTTTGATCTCCGTCACCTTTCATGAGTGCATTATTGCGGATATCAAACATTAAAGAACTATGCCCCTTATCCAAAGAGGTTTTGTTCATGTGAAACTTATCCAGTATTTTCTATAAATTCACTCGGGTCACATGACCTGTATGTGTACAGTGTGAAGTAGTGACACTTTGGATCCTTTTCTAGTCATTAGCACACTGGCACTGACATGAAGCCAAGAGGGAAAGAAATGATCTTTTTACAGCTTTTGCACATAAAAGGGCATCCATGGTCATCTCTGTGCTCTTAAACACACTTTCCCCATCAGCCCCTTAGCTCTCAAAGTTTTTCCATTGAATGTTTAGAATGAGACCGAAAAGTACAACTCAAACCAGTCAATGTCTTTCCTGTGAGAGACTCTCATGGCACCCATTTTCTCAATAGATTTCTGCCATTCTTAGAGCGAAACATAAGGGGGGAAAAAAAGAGGAATCAAGTCAAAAACATCACTATAAAAGGGCCTGAATGTCCGTGTATTATACATGATAATCTAGGTTTTTCTTTTATTTCAGGTGACCAGCAGAAATTGTAAAACGTGATATTATCTGTAACATTTACACAACATTACAATGAGAATGAGGCAAAACAGTAATTGCTTTCCTTTTTGTCTTGAAAATATAACCAGCTTCTTCCAAAAAAATAAAACTTACTGATATATACATTGTAGATGAGCATTATAATATATATCTTCTGAAAAGCTACAGCCTTAAATTTATATTTGATTATGCCACTAAATCTTAACATAAAAATTGCATCATAAATGACATAAGATTATGCATAAAAAATACAAGCATACACTTGCATACACTAAGCTCTTGCATTTCATTTTTATCATATCTTTCCAGCAAGTGCCGCCACGACTTTATCAATTACGCTGGAGTCCAAATACGCGATTATTCCTCCTCGGTTCGCCCATCGGTCCACACCTTGACTTTGGTTGTGCAGTTGATGGTAGGTCAGTTCAGCTGCGTGTCCCTTGTTTCCGTTGACGTGGGCACGCATACACTCGCTCAGATCCGAGACCCCACCACCCAGCGCCCGCAGAAGCGCATGAGGAGCACACGAGTCCCACTTGAAGGTGCTGCCCTCGGAGAGCACATACACATCCACCAGACCCTGGACCACGCACAGGATCTTGTATCCCGCTCCGGATGCGTACATCAGCGAGCCGCCGGGAATGGCTGCGAGAGCGTCCTTCACAGCCGGCCTCTCGCTGGAGCTCAGCAGCACAGACAAATCATCTTTCTTTTGTGGACACGACGGCCTGCGATGCGTGAAGGAGCAAGCGTTCACATCTCCATATGAAACGCCCCAGAGGTGCTGGCCTTTCCATCTACAATCACGACAACGAGGACTTTAAGAAATGCAGTGACTTACATAAGCAACAGGTCAGGAGAGATCACTGTTTGAACTGTGGTTAAACTGTGGACTGTGAATTTTTCTCATTTAGGGTCAATAGAGGTGGAAAGTAACAGTCCGTCATATTTATTTATAAAGCAAATTTAAGAACAACAGCTGTTGGTCAGAGTGTTTGAACAAATACCAAAAAAACACACTGACAAACAGCATGCTACAATTATACCACTGCACCTACTTATGACCATATGCAACAGTAAATAAATTCGTTTTAAGAAGAGACTTAAAATCAGCGTATGTTGGGGCAGGTTTTATAAACGATTGTTCAAAATTGTTCAAAAGCTGTGGAGCAGCCACTGAAAAGGCACGGTCTCCTTTCAATTTTAAGCGTGTCCTTGAAACAGTCAACTGAAGACTACTAATTGATCGAAGTTCCCAGGAACGAAAGGCGATCAGAAATACATGAAGGAGCCAGTCCATGCAAACCCTTATAAACAAACAATAAGGTTTTGAAATGGATACGATATTTAACCGGGAGCCAGTGAAGAGGGATCAACACTGGTGTGATATGTTCCCTCTTCCTTGTTCCAGTTGACAATCTAGCGGCAGCATTTTGAAGAAGTTGAAGGCATGACGATAGAGACTGTGAGACACCCAAGTACAATATATTACAATAATCTAATCTGGCTGAAATAAAAGCATGCATTACAGACTCCATGTCTCTTAATGTTAAGAATAACTTCATTTTCACATTTTAATTAGTTACAAATACTTTCGTTACAGTACTTGAGTACATTTTTTTTTTTTCTACTTCACTACATTTAATTTTGAATAAAAGTACAAAGTACATAAAAGACAAAGGAGCCGATGGAGAAACAGGGCGAGATGTTTGACAGGCAATTTTCAAACTACTGGGGTGGAGTCCTGCGCTTCAGGCAATCACAGATATTGCGTGCAAAACTAACAAAGACTAGATATAAAAAACAGTTCACTCCTATTACTTATGAATGGGAGAAACTCATCGCTCAATCCACCTTATTCTTAAGAAGAGCAGGCGCAGCCATTTGTACATTTTATGGGTCTGGCTTCTGGTCTCATCCACTTACAGTTAATTTTAGCTGTACAAAATAGCTTGTTTTGCTGCTTGATATTGAAAATTGGTGTGTCTTACCATATTATTTTAATGTATTATCTTCGCTATGAACACTGGTTTGTAGGGCAAACAGTTTTACCGTTTACTGCACGTTGTTATTCTTCTCGTTATTTCCCTGTTGAGTGGGGGAACTATGACGTCACTTTATAGGCCCATCGGCTGTCAGCATCACACTGGTTCCCTCGACAAAAAGCCAATAGGATTTTTCCAAAGGCTTTTGAATTATCACAAAAAATAAGCTCTGTGTTCAACCATAGTTCATGATACTTACACGTTTTGTCCATCAAGATAATCTTCACAAAATAATATAATTTATGAATTTTGAAGCCTAAATACAAGCTAAACTTAGGCTATAAATGAACTTCACCACACGGTCACTCGCCACCACAGAGCTTCCAACAACTTTTTCAAACTTATTTCTAACATGTTCAATGAAAAGGATGTACTCTGTGGATGAATTTTAATCCACGACGTTACATAAACCTTTTCATATCAAAACTGGAATAGATACAAAACTAGAGCCACACTAAAACTGAAATGAAACAATAATAAATAGTAGGTTGTGAATAAATGAAATAATCATAACCAAAGCACAGACGAAAGCACGTATTTCGAAATAAGGTGCATTAAAAGTCAATAAATCCTTGATTAATATGAATATTAAAAAAAAAATCATAAGTGGGTTGTAACTGGTGTGTTTTATGTCGTAGAATAAAACGTGAAAGTATCTTAAGCTCGTGTTAACCACAGACCTTATTTTAGGGGATTTAACCAAACTCCCATTCAAAAAAAAAAAAACCCCACTGACTCTTGGACGATGGAACTGGAAGTGCTAAAATGCTAACTCGCTTCCGGGTTTTTGCCTACAAAGTGACATCACTTACTCTTCTTTGCTTTTGCCCTTTCTTAAAAACATTCACATAATCTTACGTGGACTTACTTTTCAAAATTTGTTGTAAAACAATCGCTCCCGGCAACAGGGATAGCTATGCTTGCTTAGCATCGTCAAACATATGAAACTAATATCATGTTTTGCTCCAAAATCACTATAACATCATTTGTGTTTGAAATAACTTGCTTCTGTGGTCCATGTTGCTTCTTATCACAGAATGAGACAGAAAATATATTATTTTATAAATTCTATACTGTGTCGATTAGCCTTGCATTATAAATATATATCATTCTGATGAAAATACCTGAAATGGCTTAAAGAACACAGATATATCATCACAATCGTGTGTTTATTGTCTTCATGTTTCAGTCAAAACGTCTCTATCTGCATGTTATTCAGCTGTAGTGATATCTGATGTATTTGTACATATAAGGGATTTCCTGGAATGTCATAAGTTTAATACTTTTATTAGTCTCACTTGTGAAACATAAATTACATGAGAGTGTTAAAAGGGATAGTTCACCCAAAAATGAAAATTTGATGTTTATCTGCTTACCCCCAAGGCATCCAAGATGTAGGTGACAGTGTTTCTTCAGTAGAACACAAACGAAGATTTTTAACTCAAACCGTTGCAGTCTATCAGTCTTATAATGGCAGTCAATGGGCTCCATGGCTTTGAGAGTAAAAAAAACATACACCGACAAAACCAAATTAAACCCTGCTGCTCGTGATGATACATTGAGGTCTTAAGACACGAAACGATCGGTCTGTGCAAGAAACTGAACAGTTTTTATATCATTTTTTACCTCTGTTCCACCACAATGTCCAACTGTCCTGAGAGCATTCACAACATCCGGCGCGTGACGTGTGTACGGGCTCTGGCATAGTAGACATAGATATATATAAGTAGATGCCCACGGCCCATAGAAACAGTCACTAATGAGGCATCTACACTAATGAGGATGTTGTGAACGCGCTCAGGACAGTTGGACATTGCGGTGGAACAGAGGTAAAAAATGATATAAATACTGTTCAGTTTCTTGCACACACCGATCGTTTCGTGTCTTAAGACCTCAATGTATCGTCACGAGCCGCAGGGTTTAATTTGGTTTTGTCTGTGTATGTTTTTTTTTACTCTCAAAGCCTTGGAGCACATTGACTGCCATTATAAGACTGATAGACTGCAACGGTTTGAGTTAAAGCAGCACTATGTAACTTTTTCTGTGTTCAAAATTTGCAAAATGTATATAATGAGCGAGTACATCATGAATTCATCTTCCAAACCGCGTTTTTGTCTTATTCCGAATCACTACGGTACACTTATAATAAGTACTTATATTTGGACTATTGTAGCCTGGTCGTGTCGTCGCCGCTGCGGAGTAACACATACCTGCGTGAATCGCCAGACATAAACTTAGAGAAGTAGCTCCGGTTGGAATGTTCTTCAGCGGGATGTGTGCAGTTCTGTTTATTAACCGCTAGAGCTCCAAAAGTTACATAGTGCTGCTTTAAAAATCTTCGTTTGTGTTCTACTGAAGAAACAAAGTCACCTATATCTTGGATGCCCTGGAGGTAAGCAGATAAACATCACATTTTCATTTTTGGGTGAACTATCCCTTTAATGCTCCATAATGCTCACATCGCCTCGTTTTGAGCAAAAATAGAAAAATAATACAAAAGTGCTTAGTAACGTAGTAATTTGAGTAGTTTTTCAGCAAACTACTTATTTACTCTTACTTGAGTCATATTTTTTTTTTTAGATTTATTTTTTGGGCGTTTTTTTGCCTTCATTGTTAAAGGACAGTTTAGATGAGACAGGAAACGAAGGGGGAGAGAGAAAGGGGCGAGATCAGGAAAAGTCCTCAAGCCGAGATTCGAACTCGGGACGCACATAGCACAATGGCGCTTTATGTCGGCGTGTTACCCACAAGGCTATCGGCGCTGACAAGTCATATTATTTTTCAGTACTTTTACTTGTACTTAAGTAAATTATTCCTAAAGTAACTTTTTCTTAAGTACATTTTTTAATGCTCTTTCCACCACTGCTCCAAGAACAAATTAATGTTAGATTGTATTTATACTTGGGGCCAGTTTTACTAAACCGGGCAAATGAGCGCGAGAGCGCAATTCCAAAACAGCGCCGATGGGAGGGGAAATTTCTGCAGGTGATTTACTAACAACCGCGCAAATTAAAGAACACATACGCAACATCTCATTTACATATCGACCAACGCAATATACCAAGCGCAGTGCAAATTAGTGTAGTCGCAAATGAAGAATAAAGAAGCCACAGTACGTTGAAAAGAACCGGAGGCCAAAAAATGAAGGTTTGCTAGAAGTTTTGATAGAGCTGGCATTGCGTGACTCCTAGTTGAGGGTTTCAAGTCATCTTTTATTTCCTGAAGCAAAAAAAAAAGCAAAAATAACTGTCCACACCTTTTCAGCGCGTCTTTAGTAAAACTTGACAGTACAATTTTAACGCCAAAAGACGGTTTGCACTGGCGAAAGCTGTTAGTAAAACTGGCCCTTAGTTGTAGTTATTTGCACCTCAGTGTGCAAATAGTCACTACAAGTCATGACCAAAAAAAGTGTTTTTATTTTAACTAGCAAAACTAAAATTTTAAACTAAACATTTCCCAAAATTTAAGGGGGTCTGAATACTTTCCGTACCCACTGTATGACTATATATGGCTTTCAGTTTCAATTATTGTTTTTTTTTATATTAAAACTATATTCTCAACACATTTTTGTGGGTCACATCTGAGATTTCTTTTGAAACACTGCTACAGCAGCACTCTTACCCTTTACCCGTGGAGTCTTTGCGGTTGAACGGCTGGTTTATGACACCCATGACCGGTTGGCCAGTGGACCGTAAGTAAACCCCAATCAGAACCAGAGCACATGGGAGACCGAATGGACAAAAGCCTTCATCTGGCTGTTCTTCCTCTTTCCCTTCAATGTACTGACTTGTTCCATCTATCAAAAGAAAATAGCCAAATACACATGTTGATAACCTGAATAATTCACACAACAGGAAAAGTCTCATAAGCATAACTGGTTGGTTTGTTCATTGTCCAGAAACAACAAATCTTTCTATTTTTAGGTTTCACAGCTCCCGTTTCAGTTTTCACATGAAAAATAACTGGTTCTGCAACTACTGACACACAAAGACATACTGTACACTTATTATGTACAACCTCAGATATATCAGCTAATATTTCCTCAACCCTCAATTCTTTGGATTATTAAATCTTTATGCTATATAGTTAATTACTGAATGTGGAATAAATATAAAATGTAATGTTGGTTATATGCTGTACAGCTTAATGTGTGTTTAATGAGTAAGCACACTTTGCACACTTTACATTATCTGTGCTGATTTGATTGCTGCCGAGAACACAATCAAATTAGCCAAAATATTTCATAAGGATGTGTAGGATGTGAATGATGGGTCTTTTAGCCGAGTCACGATATGGCAAACGCCAACATTTCCATGCCTATTAAACTCTATTAAACTTTTTTTTTTTTTTTGTCTGATCTTAGTGCTGAATGTAAAAAAATGCAACAATACCAGTTAGGGTACACATGTATCTCCCTTTGAACTGAACATCTTACAAATGACACTAACCTTGTATATTTGTTTAATAACCTAGTGTACAATAAACCTGGTACTGTGACCTATGAAATGTTGGCTCTACGGAAGATGCTCTTTATTTGGATTTTTTTTTTAAAGTCTGCTGAATTAATAAAATGTAAAAGTAAATAAATTAGCCAAGTAAAAAGCTGGACAGAAAATAACAAATACATTACCGATGGGATCAATCCAGATGCCCACATCGGCTGGGCTGATTGACAGCTGCAGAGATTCAGCCATCTCGTCTTTAATCTGAAGGTCCTGGTGGATCACCTTGGTCAGGAGGGACGCTGCGTTTTGATCACCATCCAGAACTTTAGCCAACAAAGCAGTTGTGTCCTCTTCCTGAGCACATACTCTCACAGTAACACTCTCCCCTGAAAGAAATACAATCACAATCAACTCCAGTCAAATGGTGTTATTTATTTGATTAATACATTGCCTAGCTCTGAGTTTGAGTGTTCATGGCCATCAGAGATGCATAAACATACAATATGAGAAGCAAAAGCATACCTGCAAACTCCAGACTGAAAAAAATATTCTGAAAATGTATGGAATGATAAACCACATATTTAAAAAGAAAAAAAAAAAAATGTACTGTGGTTAACCCTGCACACAAAGCAAGGCTTTGCTTTATTTTTTTCTTTATTAGGCATTGTAAAGAGGTAAGATGAAAAGAAAATGGCATCAAAACTTTTTGAAGACAGTCAGTTCTCTTCAGATAAACAACATTTATATAACCATCTCCCAAATAAAACCTCCTTGGATTTACACGAATCACATGAACGGCCTATTTCAATGTCAGAAGAACGAATTTTAGCAAATTCGACAAGTTTGCAGGTATGAAAAACAGTGGAAGAAAACCTTAATTACACATTATTCCCTGGCATCTCATGAACACCCCCAAACAAACACAAGCATTTCAATCTCATGCCAAGTATTTCTTAGCTCCTCCAATATAATCATAAAATACTCCATAATGATAGCTACGACTTGGCTATTTATTATAATCATGCAACCATTTGCCTACCAGGTACCATAGCCACAACCTAACCACTGACTTTATCTCATCAAATTTTTAAATTGTTTGCATAACCCCAATTCAAATAATGAAATATTCACCCCCTCGACCCAGGATAAAAACAGCTTGAACCCAAACTGACAGCATCTTTACTGTTCTCATTGTGTTTCATCTGAATCTGTCTGTTTCATTTCACACAATCACCCACCGCTGCTATAAACTGAGAACTGCATCTCTAATCGGTGCTTTTAGACTGCCTATGCTATTTGATAATTGGACGCATCAAGTGCTGTGGTCATGTAGTGAGCAAGTCCTTAAAAACCCCTGTGAAAAAAAAAACAGATCAGAAAGCCATTTATTTGAATTTAATGTAAACAGGGTCTGTCACTGCAGTTCCAAAAGATTTTCTACACCTTGCATCCTAATGGAGAGTCCCACAGGGCTCTGTACTTGGCCCATCCTATGTTCTCTAAAACAGAATGCTTGGCTCCTTTAAGAAATCATAGTTTCTTACACCACTGCTGCTTCAAGGACATAACTTCACAGCTCAACATAACGCACTTAAACTATAATAAAATTATCTGAATATGCTTAAACTTTACACTGTTTTAGCGTTAACATAATTTTATCTGATTTTACTTTTCCATGTAATCATCAAAAACAACATTTGCCATGCAAAGAAACATGTATTTATGTTGTCACATGATCTACAGCTTTCCATATTTCAGTGACGTTGAAAGTCAAATAACAAGTGCCACAAGAGTGGTGAAAATTTGAATACAATTGCATACTGAAATCCTATCAAATGCAGCACAGAATCAAAGCTGTTCTCAGGGTAACTTACCAAGTCCATTCTCAAACTTGTTTGACTCCTCTCCATGAATAAATCCAGTCAATTCTGGAAACTATAAAGCAAGAATGGAATTTTTAGCCATCAAGACGACAACAGAAACAGACAAACTTGACTAAAATTAATTTTGATTTTAGTGAAAGCTTTATATTTAAGAACCTGGGCACAAACATCATGGCGAATCATTTCCTGTATCAACACATCAGCAAGCGTCTTAAAGTCCTGGACAAATTTCTTGTTTTTGTCAGCTCCTGTCTTTTCTTGTACCAAAAGTTCAAAAAGCTGTGCTTCCTGTCGACAGACCCGTGCCACATTGGCGGCTTTTTCTGCCACGCTCAGGAGCAACCGCAGCAACTCTGCCATACCTGAGGCCTGTGAATCACACATAATAAATAAGCTTGGCTCAATATATTGGATAGGCAATGGTACAGTTTTATAAGTATGTCGGTAAAATTTCAGCACACTTAGGAACTAAACAGGTCAAGTGAAAATCAGGTCAAGCTGCAAAAATATTAGTAACCTAAAAAAAGACTCATTAACTTAAGTGGGACACAAACTTTGAGATCAAAGCACCATGATGAATGCCAGAAGAAAAATTAAATTAGACAGGTATTTCTGCAAATCACAGCTTGATAATGAAATGCCTCAAAGAGGTCTGCATAAACACATTAGAGTCTTGAGTATCATGGTGATGTAAAGCAAGAAGCTTTGAACAAGTCATAACCCTGAAAACAAATGTTATGTGAATTTGGAAATAGTGAGTGTATTTGTATCAATGTACAAATGCATGCTGCTTGTTCAACTTTGGACTCAGATACAGTGAATGGTGCAAATATATGCAAATAAACACACATGCACATCAATGGACGTCCTCTACACAGTAAAATTACAGAGGGATAATGTCTACTTAAAATTATATTTTGATTATTTATTTTGCTAAGGATTATACAGCTTTGATGAATGTTACAAAGTTCACATCATCTCTGACACCAAAGGTCCAAAAGACACACAAACACGCAGACACACAGAGACAAAATACATAAACATGTATACATGAAGCACAGCTACAGACAGAAACAGAAACACACACACACACACACACACACACACACACACACACACACACAGCCCACATCTGTGGACAGAATCGAATGCTTTCCTTATTAGAAGACAGACCTCACAAGCAAAGGCAAGACATGATAATTACAGCTCATACCATTGAAATAAATCTGTAGTGGTTAGGTGTCCTTGAGTTGAAGTTGAGCGCTTCCTGTGTGTCACAGTTCTGTACTGATCCTCTGTCTAAAAGCGCAAACACACTTCATCTCTGCTGCGTGACGCCAGCGTATTTTAACGCAGATGTTTTAAGTAACAGAAACGCCTCGGAAATGAGAGCATTTCCCCCCTCATTGCGTCAAAGTAATAGGCGGAGTTTGTTCATGAATACCGCCCTCTGCTGGAGTCAAACATGCATTACAGATAAATACAAATTAAATCAAGTTTTAAAGGTCACATATTTTACACCTTTCTGGAGTTTTATTTTAAGTCTTGATGTCCTTAAGAATATATATTTGCGGTATAAGTACCAAAAACCATCTCAATATACCTCTCTCAGGAGCTCTGCTGAGAACAGGTCGATTTTGATCTGTCTAATTAATATTCATGATCCTCTCTTCTGATTGGCCTGTTGTTTTCTGAGTGACGCATGGCCAGGCCAACCACAGGTAACTAGGGTCAGCGACGTCACAGCGCTAGCTGGAGGCAGCAAAACAAAGGGGAAACTGGAGGCGGCCCATTCAAACTATGAAATAATGTCTGTGTGCATGTGTGTAAAACAACAAACTGACGATTTATATATAATCATTTGTAATTGTATATACATTGTTGTGATTAATTGTGGCTGGAACAATAATGTAGCTGTAAAAACAGTTGCCTGCTGAAATTGCAATGTATATACATATTCATCATGACTAGATAGACACAGTGAGTTTGTCTTTACTATACATGTTAGATGTGATCCACCTCATAGTAAACATCCTGTCAGATCGTCCATCCTTTGAGTGAGAGTGTAATGTTACAGGTCGGCCGATCTGGTTTCGTGGTTAAAGTTAACCTTTTCGACATGTTTCCGTGTTGTTGTTGCTCAGTCAGCAATGGCATGGATGCGATGTTGTCTGGGGGTTTGGCAAAAGGAGAGTGGGACGGTGGGCGGTGCTCTGGGTGGTGACTGAAGGCGGTGACTGTGTAGTTCTGACGTCAACTTTTTATGGAAGTCACAATGGTTCGTGAAATATCACAGCTACTTTATGCAGGTTGAGTGCATTTTACTGTGGACTGACTGTTTTGAAACTTATATGGTAGTTAAATAGCCCCAGTTTTGACAATATGGGACCTTTGCCAAGTCAAAACAAAAGGTTGGACATCCACTGCTCTCCACTTATTTTTGGTTTTAGATTGGCTACCTGGAAAAAAAAACTCTTATGAGTGATTTTGATATCAGCTGGATATTTAATAAAGCAAGAGAATCCAACAAAATCAATGCGTGGCAAAATACTTAATAGTGATTGTAGTATATAGAATGTCTGCCTGAAGTGAAGACAGATCTGTATGAGGTTCTTAAGAAGCTGACCATAGACACCTTGCTCAGTCATGACTGGGTGAAGCTTGAGCAACTGGCAAAGCCATTTCTGTGTAGAAAAACAATCCAAAAATGATGGTTTCAGTGTCTTTGAGAGGATGACGAAGAAGGTTTGGTAAAAAGTCTTTAATAACACACTCAGAAGGTCCACTGCCACCAATGCTTTTAACTCTCACCTATCCTTACTGAAATGTCAGTGTCAATGTTGTGTTATGACCTTGAGTCATTATTTTTTATATCTAGTGTAGCTGTGTTGTTTCTTGTGTGTGTGTGTGTGTGTGTGTGTGTGTGTGTGTTTTCTTGGTGGGCTTTTCTTGAGATAATGCACTGGAGGCTATGATTGGATTTCTTGATTTGTCATCAGTCAAGTCAAGTCACCTTTATTTATATAGCACTTTTAACAATACAGATTGTGTCAAAGCAGCTTTACAGTATTAAACAGGAAAATAATGTGCCGATAATGCAAAAGGACAATAGTAAACACTCAACTTTCAGTTAAAGTCAGTTCATCATTGATTCAGTGATGTCATCGTCCAGCTCAGATTCATTTCAACTAGTATCTGTGCAATCAAGTCGACAATATTGCCAGAAATTAAGTGTCCCCGACTAAGCAAGCCAGAAGCGACAGCGGCAAGGAACCAAAACTCCATCGGTGACAGAAATGGAGAAAAAAACTTGGGAGAAACCAGGCTCAGTCGGGGGGCCAGTTTATCTGGTTCCCGTGGTCTTGTGCCGATGAGCTCAAGTACTGAGGTGCTAAAACATTCAGGGCTTTATAATAAAATTAGCAAGATTTAAAAATATATATGATGTTTAATAGGGAGCCATTGCAGTGTTGACAGAACCGGACTAATATGCTCATACTTCCTGGTTCTAGTAAGAACTCTAGCTGCTGCATTTTGGACCAGCTGGAGTTTGTTTACTAACCATGCAGAGCAACCACCCAATAAATCATTACAATAATCTAACCTTGAGGTCATGAATTAATGTTTCTGCATTTGACATTGAAAGTGTAGGTCGTAATTCAGATATATTTTTAAGATGGAAAAAATGTGGTTTTACAAATGCTAGAAATGTGGCTTTCAAAGGAAAGATTGCTATCAAATAGCACACCTAGGTTCCTAACTGATGACGAAGAATTGACAAAGCAGCCATCAAGTGCTAGACATTATTCTAGTTTATCACATGCAGAGGTTTTTGGTCTGATAATTAACACCTCTGGTTTTTTTTTTCAGAATTTAGCAAATTAGTATTTATTAGATAATATTAGAAATTAGTAGTCATCCATTTTTTTGTCAACTATGTATTCCATTAGTTTTGCAAATTGGTATGTTTGTCAGCCACAAAGAAATATAGAGCTGAGTATCATCAGCATAACAGTGAAAGCTAACCATGTTTCCTGATGATATCTCCCAAGCGTAACATGTAAAGCGTGAAAAGCAATGGCGCTAGTACTGAGCCTTGAGGTACTCCATACTGCACTTGTGATCGATATGATGCCTCTTCATTCACTGCTATGAATTGATGGCGGTCAGATTAGTAAGATTTGATCCAAGCTAATGCACTTCCACTAATGCCAACATCATTTTCTAGTCTATTCAAAAGAATGTTGTGGTCAATAGTGTCAAATGCAGTGCTAAGATCTAGTAGCACTAATAGAGAGATACAACTACTATCGGATGATAAGAGCAGGTCATTTGTAACTCTAATGAGAGCAGTCTCAGTACTATGCTGATATGGTCTAAATCCTGACTGGAAAACCTCATAGATTCCATTTTTCTCTAAGAAGGAACATAGTTGTGATGATACTACCTTTTCTAGTATCTTTGACAGAGAAGAGAGATTCGAGATCCATCTGTAATTAACTAATTCTTTAGGGTCAAGTTGTATTTTTTTTAATGAGAGGCTTAATAACAGCCAGTTTGAAGGTTTTTGGGACATATCCAAAAAAAAATGGGACATATCCAAAGTTAATTATGTTTATCTGAAAGTGTAACAATGCAAACAGGTTTTCTGTAAGGGGTAGGTTTAGGGTTAGGGTTAGGGGATTGAAAATATCGTTTGGTCAGTATAAAAGTAATAGAAGTCAATGGAAAGTCCCCACAATTCACAGAAACAAACGTGTGTGTGTGTGTGTGTGTGTGTGTGTGATTGATTTAATAAATTGCAATACTTATAGTAGCTATAATGCAAAAAGAAGAATTAGATTTAATGCTTCTAATTTACATAGTTTGCCACGCCCTGTCTAAAACACACAAGCACTCTATATTAATAAAAGAACACACATTTTACAGACCTTCATATTTAATTATATTTGATTACATGCATTTGCAATTAGTTTGTAAAAGGTGGTTATACATATCTGGGCTGCGTTTTCGTTGCATTCACACAGTTTTGACCAGCAGGTGGTGTTTTGAGCGCTTCGAAACCGTAAATCGTTTTGCGAAGCAATTGAGTCCGTGTATCATTCGATCATTCGTTTTTTTATTTAATATTGAAAGTAGAAAAATTAGAAAACGGCTCCTTTTTCGTTT